CATAAAATCACTGATAAGTACTATACCGACTCCACTCGAATAATGCTCGATATTATAATATAGAATAAAGTAATAACAAATCTTACTTCTCATATTACTAACGATACTAACGTTCAAAATCATACCAGAGCTGTAAGAATAAATTTAAACAATCGATTATAGATGGCCGTAATTTTTATAACATCTCAACGATTTTACATGTTATGAATGGCGACTCTTTTATTTTTTGCATTTTTCCTTCTTCTTTTTTTTTTTTTTTTTTTTTTTTTTTTTAAAAAAAAAGCAGAGTAGCACGTGGCAACTATTGTCGATTATGAGGCGCACGAAGCTGATTATTCCATTCTCCCCTTTCCTTGGTCAATTTCACGACAAAGGGGACATTACTTTTCGTTGTTTTATCTGCCAACCGTTTTTGCCTTTAGACTCTTGCACGTCTCTTAATTATTCTAAACTCCTAGCTGTAGCTATAAAATACATCTAATTTTTATTTACTCCTACGTTCAAATTATTCACCGTTATGAAAGAATATATTGTTCGATTTTACACGTATTTTTTTATTAGTTCTAAAATATCTTGAAAAAACTATGTTTTAGCTACAATTACATTTGACTGTAGGATTATCTGGAATGCGATTTTTCTAATTTAATAATAAATCTTTTAATAAATCCATGGTCTGGACAAAAGACAATTTATCAAGCGCATAATATAATTGAAATAAATAAATATTCTGAAAGGTAGTAGAGTGTTACAATTTTTATTGCAAAAATGAAATCATCTTATCAATGATTTTCACTGTGAAGTAACAATGTATACAGGTACGTAGTAATAATGTATTAATGAGGTCACATAAGCTTATATATCAATTCGTTCCAAGGCTATACACATTTGTAATGAAGAAAAAAAATGAATTTGTTAATTAATTAAAGACAATAATTATATTCTCTATATGTTTTTAATTTTTTGAGTGGCATTTAATAACTTTCTTTATTACTTAATTTCCAAATTTAATTATTTATTCGACAAGACATTTATATAACGATTGAAATATTGAGAAAATTTTACTAAGCGCAATGAAATTATTTCAGAAAATTAATATAGTCTATCAATATTTGTATAAAAACAAAATAAGGCATACGTATTACATGCATCCTTTTCAAGATATTAAAAAAAAAAAAAAACATTAAAACTAAGGAACTTCAATTTTTAAATAATAAATAAGTATAATATTATGATAAATCATTGTATGTCAACATATGTTAAAAACGTAATTGAAGAGAAATATGGAATAAGAAAATCATACATATGTGAGTGATATTTATAATTACTTTATAAGCTAATATTTTTATTTACTTTTGTTATTTTTACTCCAAGAAAGTATTTGAACGAAAACTTTGAACTAATTCGCAATTATTTAGTGTTACAATTATTTCTCGTTGATGACGAGTTATGTCATAAATTAACGCTTATTGAGAAGATTAGCGAAAAGAAAGTTTTATAAGTTTGTATTCAAATATTTTCGACAAGTTAACATCTTAAATACATATCATTAGTTTTCCTGGGCTTTAATAATATAAAAAAATATTTTATTTACTTTTTCATATTTAACTTGATATATAAAATGAACGATAATCGTAATTTATTAAGTGGAATTGATTTATTAAATTATGAATGGAAATGAACGGAATTCATTTGAATTGACATTTAATTGTAAATTTTTACAAATCGTAATACCGAAGGTAGTTAGTTGTAAGTTAAATATTTTTCTAAACAGAGAAATATATATATATGGCACATATTAGATAAAGTAGGTTGGCTATTTTTTATCATAGCGAAAACGGGTATCGAGGTATGAAAGAACAATGTTATTTAAATACATATGGAATAACAGCCTCCCCCACGTGAGGAACAATTGCAATCAAATTATTGAATAACTTTAAAATAAAAATATTCTTAAATACTAAGCATACCTGATATTGCATCGGAGACAAATTACATAAATGAAACTTGAACTCGTTCTAAAATACATCACCAAACCATAATAAATAGTTACATTATCAAGTTGATATAAAATAATTGTACAAAAAAAAAAAAGAAATAAAAAAAAATTAAAAATTAACTTTATTTCTTATTTGCACACTTGATTGCGACTCTTGGAAATTTCTCGGTCCGAATAAACACCGAAATATAAAAGTACACAACCAGATTAATCTAACCTAAAAGGTCAACAAACCCCTCTTCTTCCCACGACAATATATGTGCAGGGCAAATGTATAGTGAAAGCGAAGAGGGCGTGAATAAGGAGAGCCGAATAATAAAATATGGACCAAACGTAATAGCAAACAAAAATTAACACGTTTCGATCAGTTGCACAGACACCAACAAGACCAGCAGTAGGATAAATAACAAGGATTTTAAAAATGACGATGCTTCTTACTCGGACGATTACCGTAGGATCGGGCACTAGTGTCGAACCACCGGCTCGCGATTTTCAGGAGCTTCGTGGCCTCGCTTCAATTATAAATTTCATCTCGTCGAACATTGACATATTCATCCCACAATACGAACCACGAATTACCATCGACTAGTAAGCCCTACACCAGGAACGACAAAAGATACGAAAATGCGAACGCTCTCATTCTCGAGTCAACACGCCGTCCTTCTTTGCGGCTTGCGCACATTCTCCCAAGTTTTGCTCTTTCTCATTCCCTCCTCGCACTCCTCTCCATTTCCCTACGTTTACGGCTATTAACACATTCGTACACACACCCCTCTTGCCATCGATTATTTTCTTTTATTATGTTTGATTTTCTAAGGCCTTTATGCACGCTCATATAACTTTATACCCCCGATAATGCAATACATGCACAATAACACAAGTGCAAACAAGTCGATTATTAGACGCCATAACCTCAAACAGATGAAAATGTACATTTGGATATAAGTGCCCTGCAAATGTTTATTTTCAAAACAGAATATCCGAGGTGAGTTGTTTTGTTATTATTATATTATCGTTCATTTTGAAAATCTGTTCATTAATAATCAAACTAGAATTATCTTCTGTAACATAGTGCATGCATTTAATAAATTTAATTCATGTATGCATGGAGAAAAAATTTTTTTTTTTAATCCAGTGCACTTCTTAGTTACTTTCGCTTAAATTATACATTTTTATTGATCCTAATGCTGGATGCTTTTGAGACTACATTTGGTATTTTTGGAAGCATACACCGGAGACATTCATAAGTCACCGAATGTTTTCTAAAATATTTCGAATAAATGCTTATATATATATATATATATATATCAAAAACGATCGAATGTACGATGAAATGATCGACCAACGTTTTTAGAGTTCCAATTATAATTGGCGAGTTGTTATGTGCTTATCGAATATGGCGCCAAAAATAGTTACAGTTACGATTGGTTCAACACTTGACCCAATGAATAAATAAGCGTACATATTCTTGTTTATTGAAATTCTAAGAAAGCACACCGGCGAAGTTTGAAAACGCGTCTGCCTTATCGTTGTGCGATCATATTCACCAAGCCAAGATCGGCGAATTGTTTCCGAGCTTTTAAGCAGAAAGAATTGAACTAATAACAAATGAAAACATAGTTTTATTATATTTTCGAAGGACCGTTTTTATGAGGCGTTGTTAAAATTTTAGTTTTGTGTTTGTGTTTTATAAGTTTTATAAGGGATCCGGGAAAGGAAGAACAAAGGAAAATTTGACGAATTAAAAAAAAAAAAAAAGTAAAATGTATTGATAAAAGTAAGACGCTTATATTTTTCATGAACCTAATTACTTTTCATAAAGTCTCGTTTCATCATCGAAAAAATTGACAATAAATTATTATACGATATAACTATATTTAATAACACGAAACACTATAACAACAGTGAAATATCGTTTGCTCTAATATAAAGATTTTTAAATATATTACACGTACGTGGTCAATATATATTTCCTAATTTTCAGATTTCAGTTACCATGCACTGTAATTGTTACCATCTTTAATAGTATTCAATTGTATTATTTTGTTTTTTCGATTACGTATTAAAGTTGATTTAGTTTCTTATATTTACTCTATTCTATTGTTAACTACTCAACATTTAGTAAAAATAAATAAAATATCTTTTTGCAATTTATAATTAAAATTGAATCAAATTCACAATGTTCATTGTAATTTGTTAAAACTTTTATTTTTCCATTAAATACAATCATTATGTTACATGCTACGCGCGCACGCGCGCACGTCTATCTGTGTGTAACTGAACTGTATCGATATATTTAAAATTTTTATCAATAATAGAGTTTTATCCTTTTATATTATCTATTGATAATATATTTTTAAATATGTGTGAAATATATTTTATTATATATATTATTGAATAAAATTAATTTACATTCAACATTATGCCTATACATATAAAGAAATTAGTTTTAAAATGAAAAGTAATGAAAAAAATTAATTTATATTGGCTAAAAAATTTTACAAAGACTTGTATCAGTATTTAATAATATCTTCTTTGTATGAGAGTTCATCGTTGGACTATAAATATCTATAAATGAAATGATTATATTTTAATTGTAACGATAAAGTACATTTATAAACTGAACAAATAAAATTCATTAATATTCATAATAAAGGTTTGTTTATCGTTTGTTATGTCTTGTCATAAATAATAGAATAATTTTCTTTAAAAAAACAAAAAATATATATATGTATATATATGTATGTACAATTTGTATATATATGAATTTATAACAGTACATATTTATTATATACTGAAAAAATAAATGGCAATAGTTTTCTTTTTCTGATGAAATATATATAATTAAAATTGTTAATTTATTACAATTTGGCAGATTTTTTATTTTAATGATGCTTTACAAAATGAGCAAGCATTTATTGATAATATTAAATATTTTTCAGCCAACACATCATCTAAAATAGGTAATAGTCATCCAATATCATTGTTTAATAATAAAATAAACATGATTAAAGCAGAAGAATTATTACAAATTAAAGATGATTCTAATATTAAATGTACACTGCAAATGAGCAACATACATGGTATTAATAATAAAATGCAGTCCTCATTAATTGATGCAAAAGTGAATTTTAGTGATGAAACACTTTTAGAGATTACTAAAAATCTCAAAGATAGAGATATTTCTCTATATGAAGATATATTTTTTAGTGATGAGGAAGAAGAACTTTTACAAGTAGAACAAAAAAATAAAGATTGTGATATTAATTTTTTAATACATAAGCAAGAAAAAGTAACAAGTAGCTCAACTAAAAAAAATGATTATAAGAATATAATTAATGATGAAACGCCGTCACAAAATGTAACTAATATTTCTAATTTATCATTACCGAAAATCATACTTGTTGATAGTACAAAAAATAATGGTTCAATAGTTAATAAAGTAAAATCAACTAATGATAAAGAATTACAGACTGAAGAAAATTTCTGTATCAAAGAAAGTTATGATAATACTTTTGAAATAGAAAGTGATGAAAACAATGAATCGTCTTCTAAGGAATTAAGTATTAAATGTATTTTACCAACTCAAGAAACAATAGGTATTAATACTAATGATCCTGTGATAACAGATGACATACAATTAAATAGCAATAAAGAATTGCTTAAATCTAATAATTTAAAAGAATTTTCTAAAACTATTCAGACTTCAGAAAATATTGATGCTGATACTAATAATGGGAAGGAAATACCTTTAGAAAATATAAAAATGGATATGTGTATCGCTGAAAATCAATGTTTAGAGACTGTGGACAAAACTATTTGTGATAAAGAACCAAATATTATTAGTAAGCTGCAGAATATGAATTGGCTGAAAAGTCGTGCATCATTTGAGTATGTATATAAATTTATTAATCCATAATTTGTTACAATTGAAATACGTGTAGTTTGCATAAACATGGGCTAATCAATAATCAATTGATATAAATATTAATTGCATAAATAGTTTACTTATATATAACATTTTTCACTTTGGGAAATATCAGAAACAAATTTTTATTCAATCAAATATTTTAATTAACTGTTAATTTATTAATATACATCCACTAACAAATGTCAAATGAAATTCTTAATAATTATATAAATGTAGTTACTTTCGTTTTTATTAACTAACAGTTATTTTTTTGTTACAGTGTTATAAATATGAGTCACGCTTTGAAACCTACATTAAAAGGTTTACCGAAAAAGGATGAGCAGAACAAAGATTACATTCCAAAATATGAAAATTCTAATAATAAGCATCGATCCAATGACACTATACAAAACAGCAATCACAATGACATATCTGATTCTTCTAAACAAAACAATGCTCAACGACAGACAAATGCAGCTCCATCAAAAAATTCTTGGGGTAATAATAATAATTCAGCGAAAAACCTTCTGCCTAATACCCAGTCATTAATAATTGTTAGAACAAAAGGAGGTGAAGAATTAAATTTGGCTTTATCTGAAAATATTTGTACAGCCCAACAGGATAATTTGAAATGTAAAATATCTGCAAAAAGTTTAAAAGCTAATATTCAAGATGATTCTAATAATAATTATTGGTTTGTTTTTATTATAAATATATTACATTTGTATGTTTATTCACATTCAATTCATTAAGCATATTTATCTATGCTAACGAATAGAAGCTTATTAATAAGTATAAAATTTACCAATTCATATATTAGAATATAAGTTTGATTAATTTTCAAAATATGTGTATATGCTATCTTGTCAATTATTTATTTTCATTATATATTATTATTATAAAATTGATTTATATTTATTTTATATAATATATAAAATTTATATTTTTACAACATATATATCAAATTGCACGAATAATGTTACATAAATATTACATTTTTTTTATAAGACTTCTTCAAAGAAAATACAAGTTTCAATATTCAAAGATTTATTTTATATAGTATAATTAATGATGATTTTGCTTTTAGGAAGAGAACTCATAAAAATCCTCCAGATAATTTATGTGAGGGTACTATTTTAAGCAGCAATGATGAAAATCAAGCAAAAGGTTTTATTGATAAATTCGGTCGAGTCGATGGTTATTCAGAAAAAAGACTATTTATAGGTAAAGGTGCCAGAAAGAAAGAACAAGATTTTATTAAAGCTCATACTGAAAATAAATATCGACTGCAAAATAATCAAGGATTCCTTCAGCCACAAACGTTAATCAGGAAATTAGATGTAGAACCAAATTCACATGAAGAACAAAAAGAAGAAATTAAAAATCAGCGTGAAAACTACGCAGAAGTAGTTTTACCAAATAAAAATAAAGAAAAATTTATGTATGGAAAATTTACTAATGAATGTGATTATCCTGAAACTGACATGTTAATAAATAAACATGATTATAAAACAGTTTATAATCAAACAACATCGAAATATGTTAATCATAAATGCAAAGAAGATTATTTAAAATCTAATCAAGACACTAAAGGAAAAAGTCAATCTTACGTTTATCAAAATCAAAACTTTCTCATTAGAGGTCAAGAATATAACCAAAATCAAGAGCAATCAATTAGGCATCAAAACTATTATGATAAGTATCAAGAATATATAAATAAAAATAACGAACGTTTAAATAGGCAGCAAAATTACTCTGATAAAAATTATGAAAATATTAAGAAAAGGCAAGAATTCTTAAATAGATATTCTAATTATGACAGAAACCAAGATATTGCAATTAAATGTAAAGGATATTTTAATAAAAATCAGGAATATTGTAATAGAAATAAAAATTATACTGAGAATTATAATAGAAATATAAATGATTTAAATAAACACCTGAAATATGCACATCCAGCTAAACGACGTTTCGGTAAATGTTTCAATGATGAACATTGGATGAATAGAAATAATTTCCCATTTCAAAAGTATTCTGATAATAATAGTCAACAAGAATGCAATCAATGGAAAACAAGAAGTGAAATGCAAGATACTAAATTTTCAAGTAGCTTTGATCAATATCAAAGTTCTGATTACCAAGAAGACCAGATTAATGTAGACAATAAAGTCGCTACTCTTGTGCAAATGGATGTTAAACAGGAGAAACAATGCGCTAATTATAATTCACCAAATGAAGAATTTTCTGATAATTGGGCTATGCCATATGTAATTACTGATTCAAATTCAAAAAAATCATATAGTCCTGAAAACCCAAATATATCAAAGATACCGAATCATCCTATGAACCACGCAAATAGGACTTCTGAAGTAAAAACAATAAATGAAATTATGCAAAATTCTATGATTTCAGAAACTCGTACAAGTCTAACAAAGGAAGAAACTAAATTTTCAAATAATTTTGATCAACCTAAAAATACTAATCAACAAGAGGGTCAGGTCAACCTTGATAATAAAATCGATACTCTTGTACAAATGAACATTAAACAAGAAGAACAAAGTGTTAATGTTCATTTATCGAAGCAGGAACATCCCGATAATTGGGCTATGTCACATGTGATTACTGATTCAAATCTAGACAGGGCAATTGATATTCTACAGAAAGCAAATATATCAATTATACAAAATCATTCTATGAATCAAACTACATCAGCCAATACGAAAAAATTAAACGAAGCCAAGCAGTTAATATCAGAAACCAAAACCACTTCAATATTAGACAAATGTACAAATCCTAAGAGTGTTAAGGAAGATTCAAACTCTGATCTACAACCTAATGCTATAACTGTTGAAAGTAATCAAAATATTCAGCATGCTTTAGGTTTGTTTTCTACTAACTATTTAATGAATATAATATTTAGACATTTTGAAAAAATAAATTTAAGAAGTTGAAAACTATTCTAACAAAAAATATTATTGAGAATATAAGTCTGTGATCAAAGAAAAATTCCTTATATGTAATAAAATTAATATATATATATATACATTTTTTTTAACAAATTTTGAATTTGTATAAATTTTAACAAAGTTTGAAATATTGGAAAATCTAAATTAAAATATATTTGTACGATTTCTTCAAAATATCCATAAATAAATAAGAAGAAAATTAATGTAAACTGCAGCCCAAAGAAATATCAATTGATTACAATTATATCAGACCACGAAAATGTACACATTATGCTTTAAAATATACATACATAACTTTTTTTAAAAAAATTCGTATTAAACATTAGTATTGATAAATCATAATTCCATTTAACTTATTTTCGTGTGAGTAACCGATATAATTTAATATGTATATATATATATATATATATATATATATATATATATGTTATTGACAATTTACATATATGCGTATAGACCAAGAGGAATAAATCGTATAATCGCATTTTGAATTTCAGGGCCAGTACATACCAGGGTATGTAATACGCCTCAAAATATCAATTTGACAACAATGAAAGATGAAGTGCCGTGTTTTTCTGAGGTAGTTGATGATAATGCAGTCATGTTAACTTACCCTGACCAAAGTGGCCAATTTCACCAAAATATGCCATGCGTGAGTTATGAAGTACCAACAAGAATGCACCACAGCCCCGTAATGAATATAAATGCAATACCATTCATCGCTGGTAATAACCAAGGATTGGCCAGTCAAATTCCAGAGTTACCGAGCGCAGCCTTTAACGTCTTCCCCGATGAACAGCAGCAAATCTGCATGAACGAAATATCAAACTCCTCACAAAATCTGCTCAGTCTCCATAATACCGTGTGCAACTTGTCCAAACAGCTCGCATCAGCCCAGGCTAACTTATTGGCAGCCCAGGTAAAATCTACTATCTTTACTAATGTAGAAGCTTTGAATATTTTAATTTATGGTATCTTATGAATTCATGTGAAATTTATAAAGATAATGTGAAAAACGAAAAAAACTTTCGATCTTTCGTAGTTTTGCATAGCCTATTAAAGTTCTGCATTTTCTTGCAAATGGTTCCGTTTCATCAGTAATGCGCTCTAAATAAATTTATTCATTAAGAAATTTATAAGTAAATTTAATATTAATTAAATGTATATTTGATAGAATAATTAAAAAACCTTCCTGTTTAATTTATTTTAAGATTTGATCAGTAAGATAAATATGCTTTATTATTGTACAACTTAAAGCAAAACACAATTTTATACAATTATAAATGCTTAAGATATAATAAGTAAATATTTAAACATCAATAGAATTTAAGTATATAATAATAATATAAAATATATTTTAACGTATTTATTATCAAAATAGTTACATAAAATATTTACAATTTTCTAAAAATTTATCCATTTTAATATAACATTCTAAGGCAGCTGCATGCACGTTTATTTTATGGTAAGTATAAATTTTTCTAAACAATAAATTTTCAAAGTTTTAATAAATTTATTGATTATTTTAAATAAAACAATTTGCTTAGTTTATTTAAATCCGATAAATTATTTACAAAATTTGAAAGCGATATAGTAAATGATAAAAACACTTACTTTTAGTATGATTAATATTTAAATATTAAATATTATATTATTAAACTATAATCATTTTCGGCATTATTGGAATTATATTTTTATAATTCCATGATAATTTGATATTTGCTTATTCTTCCTCCCATAAAATGTAACACAGAATTACTTATATCAATAAATGTATTGTATCATGGTTTTTTTTTATCATTTAATTATTTAATTATTTATTTAACAAATACGTTTTAATCTTTTTAAAATACTTTTATTGAAGAACGTTAAAACTTATGAACGATCTAGGTAAAATTTTATCAAGATGCTGTCTCGTGTTCTACTAATACGCATAATCAGTTGCCAACGCAAAGCCAAAATCTCTCTATAACAGACGTTCATTCGGCCAAGTATTCAACTCTTCCAACCATCCAATCACCAATGCCAAATATACAGAAAAATCAAAACGACTCCTATGCATTACACAAGAATTTTCCAACACATAACGTACAAGATTTTGGTCCACCTTCATATCAGGCAAATGCTACAATAGAACCAAGATTGGATCTTCAGCCCATGTATATTCAACAAAATCATTTTCATCATCAACAGCAACATCCTAATTTTCAACAATATTATCTAAACACACAACCAACAAATTCCGTTCTACGAGGAAAAGTACAGGGAAGCATTGAAGGTAAAGAGTCATAAGGTATTGGAAATCAGTATTGTATTCAGAATATTCCCATATTTCTTGATTAAATACACTATTAAAATGATTATTCATTATAAATTTTGCTCAGGTAAAAAGACAAAAAGGATTAAATTTATTTTTAATTTTATAATATTAAAATATAATTTATGTAACATTATTGTGTATAAAAGCCCACAATTAACTGTTGATACATTATAACCTTTTTCATAATATATAACATTCCATTTTATTTATACGAATTGTAACAAATAGCTTTATAAGCGATAAAAATAATCGTAATATTGGATTTAATTCGCTGATAATATAACCTCATGATCCAAAAATGTTTATTTTCATACGATCTAGAGAAAGACTTAATTATATATATTCTAAATTATATAAATTATAAACTCGATTACAAAGAATTATAATACTTGTTAAGATAATTGTAATTAAAAATTAGTTTGAAATGATAATAAAAAACTTTATTGAATAATTATATTTACATATTTCTTTCCTAAGTCCAACAGTATTTATAGATATCAAATTATAAGTTAGTAAATAGTAGATACTTGTATTAAAATTTAATATTGAATTAAAAGTATCAAATCATGCATTGAAATTAAATATAATGTTGCGAATTTTTGGTAATAATAATGCTTAATATTTTAAGTTTTAAAAATCAAATGAATTTTAAAATGCAATTAATTTACCAATTATAAATTACTTTGATATATATATATATATATATATATATATAACGTTTACTTTAACATTTTAACGTAGTAATTTTAATAGCAATGTAAAAGTTTGCATTTTGGAAATATCTTTTATTGCAATACTCTATAATTATTTTACAAATATGTATAATCTATAAATAAATCAAATTCTAATATCGCGTGTGGTAAGAACATTTAATAATTACAAAGTATTCTAAATATTGAGGATCCGAAAATATCATAATTAGTGTATAATTAGAAAATATGCAATATAAATATATAAGGTAAAGAGTATAAAAGGACAATTATAAATAATGTTTTTAATAATAAATAAAATTTTAATAAAATTTAATAATAAATAAACAATATAAACAATTATAAATAATATAAAAGGACAATTATAAATAATAAATTAAATATATAGTTGATCTCGTGTATGTGTATAACGAATTAGTAATAAATAGTAATTTGTGAGAAAAATTTTCATGAATCAAAAATTAGGTTTTTAATCGAGAAATAAAATCAATTAAATTTTTATTTTTTAATCAATTAAACAATTTATATTTTTTTCATTTCGTAAAAGATTTATGAATATACTATATGAGTTTGCTTAAGATCGATTTAAAATATTAACATGTCAATGTAGGTAAACATTATTTAGAATAGAATTTTAGAATAAATTCGATAAGCCGATCAGTAATATATTATGATATTTGGAAAGTAGGCAAAGAAGATTTTGCAGGTAAAAATTGCAAATAAGTCAAATTTCTTTAATCTTTATTGACACTTGTTCCATGTCGTATAACTATCAAATAGAAAAATTAAAAATTATGCAAGATTTTCTAATATACACGCTGATATTGAATATTTATTGTAAGTTCACTGCTATTTGATAAATTAAATTATTATCCACAGTAAATATTAACGTTACCAAAATATACTCAGTAACTGACTTGTGAATGAAATAAATTAAATAAAATACAGTAAATCTTGTCTTAAAATAATAAAAACATTAAATACACTTTAAAATTGATAAATGGCAGAGTAAATATTTTATATCCATCCAATTAATTGTTAATACAGCCAAAGTAATTGTTTAAAAAAAATGAACACTTGTTTAGATAAGATTCGTCAGAAAGCAGCTTTTAAGCCTCTATTCTTTCTTATACAAATTTCGTATATAGAATATGCCTAATTAGGACGACCATAGTGATAATGCTTTAACTAACACAATTTGTAAGGAATCTAAATTAAATAAATTTGACAATAGCCATATTAAATTCACCATCAGCAAGTGGATAATAAATTTTATTTATACTTATATAAATTTGTAAATAATGATAATTGGAATAATTTTCTTCATCGTTCCTTAATTTATTCAATATATGTCCAATATTTTTAATGTATTACTTAATAATAATAATATGTGACACATTAAGAAAATATTATTTGTGTAAGGAAAAAATATATATTATTTGCCTACCTTTTTATACAAAAGGGTGAAATTCTTATAAATAATTAAAAAAAATCCCGATACAATTTATGTATTGTTCTATTACAGCGCAATTTTAAAACTACCTCGTTTTCTTATAATTAAAAGGCAGAACAATTGCATGATTCTTAGGTTTATTTTTACATTATTAAATTATTAATACAACGATAAAAATAAATATTATTTATTGTTTTATGTATACAAAAATGTGGCTTCATTTTTTACTTTCATCATTACAAAAAAATACGTACACACACTGGTCAAAAGTAAGATAAAAAATTTATAACTCTCTTAAGAATTAAAACTAATGACTAACTTTGCAATGACGTTTGTTTGAGTCTAAACCGTTCAATAGAATCACAGTTTACCAACATTGGGCCTCATTCTGTCTACACCACTCGGGTGAAATCGCCTCGGGCGAGATTCTCCTCCACATCAGTCTCTCAATTTGTGATTGTAGTTAGTAATTTTGGAAGGATCGCTCCATAATCTTTCGGCGACCGCGGCTGTTCTCGGCCACACTCGTGAGTCCAAATTTTCACCGAATACATATTCGCCCCAAATGCAAGCTTCACCTCCCAATACTCCAGACTGTAATTATATTAATTAACGACAGATACATTACTAACATCTCAATAAATCAATATAAATTATTATAGCAATAGTGCAATTACATGTTGTGGTATATGATTATTGAAAGCTTCGCGCCAGGTATGATATTTTGTCTGGCCCCAAAATCCATGATCCAAGTACCAAGCATCCTTTGTTGATATAATTAATTTGTAACCCAGACCAAGAAGTTTATTGATCAAATATGTATTAGATTCGACCCACGTTTGCACAATAAATGTCGTTTTATTTAAATAATTTTCTATAAATTCTGGCGAGGTTAACATCGAGCTCCATACAATAACACTTTCCGTACTTTTATCATTACTTTCTGAATTCAATATCTCCAACTGCTTGTTATGAACATATGCCCAAAGTTTCAAAAAGTCCTCGGTAGTTCGTCCAAGGCCGATTTTAGCCATCTCGGTTGTTATTTCCTCCGTGGAGTTCCAACAGTTCATAAAAAGCTACGAATGTGAAAAGTATATTTTATAATTAATCGAAACACTCGATCGCAGTTTTTAGTCAAAAAAAAAAAAAAAAAAAACGAAAGGAAGGAAAAAACGCGCATAAAGGAAGACAAATAAAGCGTCTTTTACGTGGCGCCATAATTGATTTGAAATCGAATGAACGCAATGTACGAACCTCATCGCCACCAAGATGCATCAATCCATGTCGACCAAACGTATTCAAGAGTTCTTTGTAAATATTCCGGAGAACGTTGAAAGTATTGGGATTAACGGGGTTGAGCTGACCACACGGGGGCTGGATGCAAAATTCACGCCAAGGCTGCTGATTAACACATACCGCTAAATTACCCAAACCTTCGGACTCGCCCCACTCCCAGCCAGCCCCAGCATGAGACGGAGAATCAAGTTCTAAAATAATTCTAATTCCTCTCGAGTTGGCATATTTCTTTATTTTCTGCATGTCCTCCACAGTATATATTTGCTCAGGGCTGTAAGCTCCGTACCTAAAATTTTTAATTTAATTATTTTCTTCAATGATTTTCTTATTCGTTAATGTTACTTAACATTATATTGTATTGTATACGTCAGATCGACCTCGAATTTTACATATATACATGACAACTAAGCTTATTTGCGACTTTCTCCGATCCCCGACACCGTTGATGTGCGGTTTCTCAGTATGAAAGCCAAACTTGATATATATATATATATATATATATATAACAATAAATATATTGACAAATAAAGTGCAAAATATAAAATATCTTCTAATAAATCTACCGTCGTAGAGATTGCTTGGCTTTCATATGTATATATACGTATATAGTATATTAATTAGGATGCTCGCTTTATTAAAATTAAACAAAATCTAGCGGAGCGGAAGATTAGCCGATATCCAATAAAACGTTTATATGATATCGTTACGAATAGGTGCAGCTCACATGGTCATTAGTGGTTCGCTTCTAATCTCGAGTGGAAAGCTCTGACTATCGGTGGCGTGCCAGTGCAGGACATTCATCTTGACGGAGGCGAGGGCGTCGATAGTACGCAGAATATCTGGTACCGGTAGGAAGTTTCTCGCGGTATCGATGAGAAGTCCGCGATGCTGGAACACCGGCTTATCATGCACCGTCGCAAAATCCAGGATAACTATCTTCCCGAGATCTCGCACAGGTGCTACTAATTGCAATAGCGTCTCCAGGCCGTGACGCATGCCGTAAACAGTGTGTGCCGAAACGAAGATAGACACATCGGAACCTATTAGTGTGTACAATTGATGTCTTAATGGTGAAATGCTTAGATGTACTATTGTTGCTGCTGTTTCATTGCGTCTCTAACCATCACTGCTACTAAAGCTAAACGATAGTACTTTGTGCTAAACATATATATAATGCGTCTATATAAAGTGCTTTAGAATAGTGACAACTTGACTCGATTGGATAAAACGAAATAGTTGTTTGTACTTAATGCGATTTAAGTCGTTGCATTAAAAAATAAAAATTCGTAATAGTTCGAGTATTATAATGTAGGGTTTGCTTTGAATATACAAATCGAAGGCGATAGAAGTTTACTACCAATGTAGTTTTCAGTAACGCTTAATCAGTGAAACGTTCTTTATATATCATCCAACTCGTCGATTTGACTTAATTCAATTGACTTTTCTTAAGTTCTTAAATTCATTATCTTTATGAAATACGTGGCATTTCGAAGTTAAGATTGTGTTACCAGTAGTGGAAATTTCCAAATCGTATCCTTCATTGGTTTCCCAGTTGAGATCCAGATTAGAGGATTCGACCTTCAAATTCACCGAAATTTTCCTGCTAACTTGCTTACAATTGAATGTACAAATAGAACGAACGTTCTCCATGAAAATGTCGATAGCCTTTGATATGAAAATGCGCGCTTGATCCGTGACGTTATCAACTCTTATAAATTGAAAATTCTCTGGGTGAATAGTTAGATACTGAACAAAAAGCAAACAAAATACACTACGATTATTTGATAATTGAGATAGAAGATACAAAGTATTTAAGATTTTTACAAAATTTTCTCAGTTTTTTAATCATACAGAATTTAATTTGTCAAAGTTCATTACAAATCATAAGAACTACGTATTGAAAATTAAATTAAACAATAAAAAAAAAAAAAATGCATATTTGCTTTGTATATATAAAAGGAAAGTTCGTTTTGGTTTAGTATGTACAAGAAAAAGTTTGTATAAAATTCAATAAGGTCATAATAATTTGTATCGGGTTAATTACTTCGACACTATAGCGACGCTTTATAGAACAGAAAAGATAAAACGTCTCGAACTATCAAACTTTCTCCCAACGTGTTTGCAAAACATTTTAGATACTTTGCGCATAATCATTTATGAACTCACGTTGCTGCCAGTATTTATTGGTCCCGTCGGTATCGGCCAAAGTCCGGCTCCGGACGCGCAGACGAGTTTGCATGCCTGAAGGCTCGGGTGCTGAGATAAACCGCCAATGTCGCTGACCGGACGTACCGAGCGTCGACATCTGTTACTCTGGACGCATTCGTATGTCCTCGTGAATTTTCTGTAAGAAATTTTAGGCCTTTTAATATTAAATTTAATAATCATTAAAATCAGTGAGGCATTAGTACACGACCTCGGAAATATCCTTTTATAAAAAATAAGATTTTATTAACGATCTTTGAGCGTTTCTGTACTTGTGCTGGGAGTCGGAGGTAAAAATAGTTTTAAAAACCGATAAGGAGAGTATAGGGAGTAGACATATTTTTTAAAAGGTGACTTTCTTCTACAACTTCTCGATCAATGGAATAATTTAGAAATTTCTTTTTTCTTTCTTTTTGCTTATTTTTCATAATACGTTTCGAACGTTTGTTAATTAAAATTAACGAATTATTTCATCCTTTATACAATTTGAAATTGTACACAAAGTAACGTAACTAGGAAAACATCGACATTTTTATAAGTATTAATGGCCAGAGCTTTAACACCTAAGTCAATTTATGCCTTTTTTTTTCTTATCATATTTTTCTTCTTCTTTGTTATTTCTTTTGACTAAATAGAATTAAACTTACTCATTATTAAATCAATTTAAATAAATAGTGCTCATACATTGCATATAACTTAATTTCATGAAAGTATTATCTTTAAATGACCAAATCAATTTCAATTGTAATAATAAAAGTTCGGTCGGTTGATTGTATTAATTAAATACAAAATATACTTACGACTGTCCATGAGCATTAACAGGAATCAATAATATCAAAACAAATACTAAATTGAATAGCCGCATCTTCTAACATATGCCTTTTTCTATAAAACACAATAAAACATTATTATTTTTTATTACTATATTACAAAAAGTTTATTTTAACTGGTTAACTTGTTAAACAATAGAGCAAGAAAAATCAGTAGTTTATATCAGAAGATCCCTGACTTTTTTCTGTTAAATCGATATTCTTTATTATATTATTGTAATATTGGCCAAAAGATTTATTTGGATTTAACGTGTTATTAATGGCGTGTTATTGATTATTGAAATTCAGCTTCTTACTCACGGACAATTGCATCAATGAACAATGATCAATTTACTTTGTAGATGTCATCGAAACATCTATTCAGTCATACAGGCCGATTTATTTCCATTTTATAACTACATAAACGTTATATTCAATGTCACTTTTACATTATTTATTTTAATATTTACTATAATTCTCGACAATAATCACTCGTATCATCTCGTTGGCTTTTATTTTCAAGTATCAATTGGCACGTGACGCGATTACTATCGAGACGAGCCTTTCTTCAAGCGAAACAAAAAGTCACGTCATTTGCTCAATAAACAGGTATGCATTTCAAATTTTTTTTTAATCGACAAGTTAGAAGTTAGGCTAACGCATACGTATTTTATTCGATGATAAATATGATTTTTGAATTTCGTCTACAATTTATTGATAAACAAATAAGGGTCAATTTTATTTACTAAAATTAATAATTAATTAATTAATACAATTAATTAATTGGCCCTATTAACCGAATGGAAACTTAATTTAAGGAAAATTGATAAATACAAATGTCAAATCGAGAAAATTAATAATATAATTAATTGATAATGATAATGCTAACAATTTCATAATATTATATAATATAATGAGAATGGTGGCACTGGGTTCTCAACTTATTTAATGCCCCTGATCGCGGAGAAATGCAAGAATGAAAAGAACAGGTTGAATTGCATAAAGCGTGGTGCAATTCTTTAAGCATTTTCTTCATTATCATTTACGACTGATCGGCGATCATGGCTTTGCGAAACATTCCTTTTCTACTCAACACCAATCAACGATTAAAGTCGCACGTCACATATCCAATCTTGCCGAGCTTATTAATACAGAAAATGCTATTTATTACCGACACCCATTCATAGAAATGTAGACCCTTCATAACATTTTTAATATAGAGCACACCACGTCTGAACCTTTCGTACATTAGACGCATATATACCATATGAATCAAATCGTGTTTCTCACTCGTGAGGCTTTGCTACATAAATGAAATCAAAATGAAAATACGACTTAGATTTATACACAATGTAATAGCTCGCCCGTCTATTTGCGAAATACCGAACTTAAACATACGAATAACGAGTGTTTTATTATTTTAATGAAGTAAAAGTTTGAATATTTTACTTGGAAGAAAGACTTGGTGCAATTATGAATATAATCCTCTTAACTCAATAATATTCAATAGTATGACTTGACGAAAAAACTCGGATTAAAATTGTACAGGCAAACGTCCTAAATATAACGATATTTCTCACAGTTTTTGTAATAAAGTATGATAAGCAATGCTGCTGAAGTTTGGTTTAAGGTTTAAATGCAATAAATATTCTATTTAACAACTTTTCCGTAATCAAGGAAAGGTGCTAAGAATGATAATATATATATATATATTGTAATAAATTATCATATTTACTCATTCGTGTTACTTTACACAATGAAGCCATGTAAATCACGCGATGTAAATTTATAAAATAATGTGCACAAATAAAATTAGTAAATACGTCAAATTAATGATATTTGACTGCAGGATTTCTAAAAGCATCTGATATTGCAGCGTGTAATCGATATATTATGTGACTGTGGAATAAGCAAATACGACGTGTCTATGGGTGATAAGGCCATTTGGGATAGTCGAAGGTAATAAGAAGGTTGTTAATGACATGACGCCGGTATTACAACGAAATAGCAGCAAATTTTGTTGTTATTGTTGTTGTCGTTGCTGTTGTTTAAATGAAGATAATTAGCATTTTCGAAAATTACGAAGACGCGGTAAAATAATAATCTCGTGACCGACAATAACGAGGCGCATCGTAGGAATTATTTATTAATTATGCAGCAATGCACTCGGCTACGTATTTGTTCATTTGAAGAAATTTTTCTATTAAACTTAATTTGCCTCTAAGTGGCACTTTGATTCTGAAAATAATCTTGCAATAATTTATACTCAACATGTCTGTTCTACATTCGACTTTAAGCGAATGGATAATTAAATAAAATGTGCGCAACTACATGTCCAACGCTAATACAAATCTATAATATCGAATAATGGAAAAGTAATAAGATTTCCATTAGATATATGTCTTATAATACAGGCACCATCTTACTCGTAAATAACACGAATTCGCCCTATATAATTATATCATGATAACACTATATAATAAAACTTTACATGTAATGTACAGTAAAATAGAATTATAATGCATATATGCGAATATATCATCACAGAGTTTATCAATATTATATTAATCGCAAATTTGTTGATTAAACATAATCGGCAAGTTTAACCTCAGTTTTATGTCGCTACACGGCAAGCTTATGCCCATGCTCGTTTCGACCTCGCACTCTTTTACATCGACTCTAACGGTACATCATTTGTTTCTAGTTATCTATCATTCATTCCTCATTATCCTTTTCGTACATATTCTCGCATACATTGCTTTTGCACAACTAACACGCATGACAGACAGTCGTACGTTCGTAAATAGCTGTTATATTTTAAAACAAAGGCCTCGCACTTGCAAAAGTCACTCTATTATTCTTGCTTTAACATTTAGCAGTACGATTGGTTCAATTACGGTCCACAAGGCGGCAATTATATAACGCTGAAATAGATATTTTAAGAATACATTTAAATGAGACGCGCAAGGTCGCAGGAGTGCCGAAATTAATGGAATCACGATGGATAGTCAGCATGAGCCTCGAGATTGATATTTGAGTAGGAATAAGAGGAGCAATGTTTATGAACTTTTGAAACTTCGCTTTACTTTGATTGATCGTCAACTCGGTGAAGCTCGACGTCAAACGGGCCACAATTTAAAAGAAATTAAACTAAAAAAAAAAAAAATTATATCTTATCACAAACGCGACTTGCCAAAAAGTGGCGTTCCGATGCCTCGAGCCCCGTGATACAATTTTTACACGCTGGATGTATAACCTACAGGAACGTAGTCCCTTTGAAAGATGATTGAGATATGATGACCCTCGAGCACTCAACAGTAGGCACGGAAAGTTTTTCCAACGGAGAAAAGCCTGAACGAGCGGCTTGCTTGCCGGTCTCGCGCGAACTGAGCCACTCGCTGCTCGCTAGTCGATAACGCAACGTCCGTCCTTACTTCCCCTGATTACTGCGAAAGTTTTTCACTCTTTTAACGTAGGTACGCGACTGGCAGTGCAATCTGAAATTCTACGGATAGCGTTTGGACGTTAACGCGAAGAGTCGGACGTATGCTTATTTGGAACGATAGGGGAAGACTGTGGCATATTCGAGCACGCACCGGTGATTAATCGAAGGGAAATTGTTCGTTAGTAAGGTGACATTCGACACTCTTACGCTTTTCGTGGATGAATTATACCTGCGAACGATAAATTTTGCACTTGATGAACTTTCGCTCGATACACCGTCGATACGCGTTTGAATTAAATAATAATTGCACCCAAGCTTCTGACATATTATTTATAATTAAATGGACTAAGAATGATGATAAGCAAGTTCTTGATTCTCATATCTTTTACTTTTTAACAAAAATAATCTGGCACGGACATTTTTATCGCAATTACGCATCTAACCTAATATAAAATACAATTTTTATTAAAACATTATATTGTAATTAAAAACTTCATTTTAAAATTTCAATTGAGGCTTTAGATTTTTTACATCGTAAATGATAAGAAGTGATTTTAAATGAAATCAATCGGTAACTTTCAAAATTCTTGACTTATTTTATGATTCAGTATGTTATTAAATAACAATAATAATAATAATAATAATATACATAATCCAAGGAAAAATATAACAAACTATATATGAAAGATATAATACTACAGTATTTGTATTATATATATATATATACATAATAAATACTATATAAGATATCTTATTTATTTATACATATTTTATATTTAATTACACGCTATACGATACTCATCTAAGTACTTTATCGAATATAATAAGGCTAAATATAAGATTGAATATAATTCAGAACATTAATAATATAATTTTATATGATTTAATACACAGATGAGTATTATTATAATTGATTGTTAAAAATTAAAAGATTTTCCTGTATGTTTGATTTAGTTTTATATTTGCGGTTTTATGTGTGCGATCATTATTTACCTACGTAAGCCGAAAGATCCCAGAGTGTAGGAAAACAACAGTTTCTTTACGTATAATAAATCTCAAAAATTCGTTAGAACTCTCAATGGGAAACATTGAATATTCTACTTAATATGATAGAGGTCACTGTATTATAGATGAATTGGTAGAACATGAAGTTGAAAATAAAAGACTCACACAGATAAGATTCGAAGCTCTTTATTTATTTAGTTAATGAATAAAATTATTTAATTAATGAATAAAATCGTCAATTGCAAGTATAAAGATCATGATTTCGACCCTTTTTGAATGTTTTATGAATTTACTATAACTTCATCTTAACTTTTTCCTAAATTCAACAAAATATTTATATATACAAGCATCATTTTCATAAATTCCATATTCCAAGCATCGAAATTGTAAACAGTATTGAAAAAATTAGAAAACAATACTTTTGAACAATATTGTCTTAAAACATGATATTTCTTTTTACTTAATTATTTTACATAATATATTTTTTTTTGTTTTTAAGAAAACTAAAGTTTTTCACATATTAAAATGCTATTTGTTATCTATTAAAGTACAATTCATGAACTATAAATTCTAACCAAAAGTTTTTTTAATAATAAATTTTTACAGGGATATTTTACCATAAGAATTATGTAAATTTTATAAAATATTAAAGATTATTATAATTTATATATTGTATATTAGCATTTATATATTTACAAATATTATTATATTTATATAAGAAATTCCTATCTAATTCATATCATAAATATTATAATTCGTAACAACTAGCAGTTTTTTTATAGAAATTGCTTTTAATTCCTTTCAAAGTAAATTATAAGAGTATATTGTTTGATTTTCGTGTAACTCGGTACAATGAGCCGTATAAACTGATTATTAAACTGATTATTCTATAGATTCTACTTACTAGTAAACGTATATTAACTAAGAATAATAATTCTGTTAAATATTATAAAATTGAGTTTAAATTAAATTAAAAATCATAATGACAAATATAATTCTTGATTTTATAAAACATATATGAAAATACTATATGATTTTGCTTAAGATCGATTTAAAATATTAAAATGTCAATGTAGGCAAAAATTATATAGAATAGAATTTTAGAATAAATTCAATAAGCCGATCAACAATATATTATAGTATTTGGAAAGTAGGTGAAGAAGATTTTGCAGGTAAAAATTGCAAATAAGTCAAATTTCTTTAATCTTTATTGACATTTGTTTAATGTCGTATAACTATCAAATAGATAAATAACAAAAATCAACGGCGAACGATTATGCATAACTATAGGAAAAATTAAAACTTGTGCAAGATTTTCTAATATACACGCTGATATTGAATATTTTTGTAAGTTTACTGCTAATTGATAAATTGTTATCAGCAGCAAATATTAACGTTACGGAAGTTAAGGTTTTGTAAACTGAAGTTTATTGTTTGAATTATCGATATCTTTTATCAATATATTTTCAAATTCATAAATGTAAAATATGTATACTAATTAGTTATGACCTAAAATTTGTTTCTTAATAAACGTATCAATTATATTATTTATTATACTGGACATGTATTAAAAGAAAATAATTATTAGTGACAATTTGTCTAATATAAAAATAAGAATAAACAAGATGTATTATAAAGTTTTTAAATTATTTTAATAATATGTCTATTGTAATATTTTGATGAATGTTATGTTTTTTTTTTTTTTTTTTTTTTTTAATTTTTTTTTAAATTTTTTTTTTTTTTTTTTTTTTTTTTTTTTTAATATATTTGTAAATTATTACATATAATAATTGTTGCATATAAAAATAAAATAAAGTCTTAGTCTTAAATTTATGAGAATTGAATGACAGAAACAAACGAAAGTTGGTTTGTTATTCAACTGTTGGATTATTACCAAGAAATATTAAACACTAAGGATCAATTTGCTTAATCTATACAATTTTAATCTAGCGATTATCAATTTTAGCAGGAATCGCATATTTTTATATTTGCCCTCGGCGAATACATTGATAACAATTATTATGAAAAAAGACTATACAATGCGTTTACTCTATTAGGATTGAGATTATGCCTTCTATAGAAATAATAATAGCAAAATTAACTTCATCCGGATTAACATTCAATATTATTTACATTATTGTTACAGACTGTCGTCTAGTACTTGAAGACTGTTCATTATGACCACGTATTTTGTATAAAAATATACAAAATATTTTGAAAAGAAATTAAGATAAGGTTGAACTTAATATATGATGTGATACGCATATGATACGAACGCCAAAGCAATAAATATATTATCGAATTAGATTCAAATTACCAATATTTAATAATACATCATATCAAGTTTGAAATACGTTTTAAGTTAATATATGATGTTTTATAACTGCAATATTTTCTGAAATGGCAGTCTATTTAAACATTAGTTCTTGTAAACTATATATGTCCTTTGAATGATGTTTTCAAATATATTTATATTGTAGACTTCTGAGAGTCTTAATTACTTCTAAAGATTTTAATTATATTACAGTTTTGAAAATATTAATACGAATTTTTTTCGCTAATTATATTTTTAATTATACATTCTGATGATAATGAAGCATGATAAATATTTATTATTAATTTTAGTGTTAATTTTATAATTCATAAAAGAATTATATTTATAATTTCATTTTTAATACGAATATATTTTTATTTTAACTTAGTTTAATTTACAATTTTATAATTATTATACTATAATTGAAACAAATATAATACCACGTCCATTTACTAATAATTTATTGTAAACAATAAAGGCATTCGTCACATTCCACAATAGATCCACGTCAACAAATTAAAAAAGAAGAAATAATAATAAAGCAAATATATGTATTTTATTACCATCCATTACATTTTCTAAGCGATTTTTTAGTATATCATTGTCTTTACTTTTCCATTTTAGTTTCCCTTATGCAATTCTTACGTTCTAACTCGAGACCTTTTTATATTTTCAAGCGCGCATCTACGGAACATTGGTGTACTCTTATCTTTATGACCGATGATTTTTTTTAAACACAGAAAAGTATCGATCACTTCTTCTTCCAGGTTAACGTAAGCACTGGCATTACTGACGGTCGTTATATTAAATATTGCAGTAGGAAATATTCATTTGATTATTCCGTTTCTAATAATAGATATGGATGTTGAAATTATCAGCAGAGTAACCAGATTCTTTAATTTATCTTAAGTTTGTGCCTAATTATGTGTAATATTATTACTAACAACGGTAAGTATTATTGTATTACTATGCTTATCTTGAACTGCCTTGAACCCTTTTCAATACCTTTTCATAACTTGCTTGATTATAAAATATCCATACCAAGAAATAATGATTTGTATAAAATGAGAGATTATTTAATATACTTTTACTACTCATGTAATTAACCATTATTTTCATTAGACATAAAAAATAAGTGTAAGTTGTATATTAAAAAAAAAATAGAATTTTTATGAAAACGTATGATATAATTTGCACATTCTAAAACATATCAATGTGTCCGTACATAAGCACACACGAATTATTTAATTATACAACTGCATTTATCGATAAAGATATCGATGCGAAAATTTATATATTCAGTAATTTTAAATGATAAACTATTTAAAAATCGTTAAAACTATATAATTTGTAATTTAGATACAGATTTCTTATATACAAGAATAGGTCTTCAATTTGAATGACAACTATAAAATTTTTGTCATTTACAGATAAATAATCAAAATTTTTACTGCATATTTTATACACTCATCTTTAAGTAGAACAATATCAATAATGAAGAACCTCTTTACTTCCTTACCTGAACTTTACTTCTTAATTAATATATTTTGATATATGAATTATTTATGAAAGATTTAATACTACTGATCATATATTTCTAACCCAATGTATTATATTTTAAGTATGCGAATTGCATATCTATTTTCAACATTGTTTCAAAACTGTAATCAAAATTTTAAGACCTTAAATAATGGGATGCGAATCGCTATAAAGCAGATTTAAAGTAGTTAATGCATAGAGACAGAAATTATTTGTTCAATTATAAAATATTTTTTTATATATTTTTAATTTTTAAAGGGTTAGAATATTTTAAAAAACTATAGCTTTGTATAGATATTTAAATTTTACTAGTCTGACGAAAGCAAAATGTTAAAATAACATTTCGAACACAATTCAGAATATAAATATTTTTAAATGAATTTCAATGTAATTTACAATTTAATTATAAAATTGGACCTAAATTTATGGAAAAAAAAAATATTGTGCTTTTTTTTATAAGATAATATTAATTCAGTAGTTATTAAGAATGCTCGAATGAACAAAAATGATTGAAATAACATTTAATTCGCAGTTTGATTCTTTACTCTCACTTTAATATTTTCTATTTTCTCACCAGGAAAGACTATATCAAGTTCACCTTATGCAATAAAGAACAAAATTATTGGTCACTAGAAAAAGATTCACATTATACTTTCCACTTTATATATAACGCTCTTAGTAAAGCCCAACTGATAAAAAAATATAAGAAAAAAAAAAGAAAATTTTTTAATATTGTCATCTGTGAATTTAATTGATATGCAGAGGGACATAATAGAGCATTATTTATCTCACTGTACACATACAGACGATCGAATTTCTTATTTTCTTTTCTTGCTGCTGCATCTACGCTTACAGTCATCAAGATAATTGTCATCTCGCATTCCCTCGTGATAAAAAAAAAAAAAAAGAATCAGTAGCTCTTTGTTCGTAGTACTGTGCTTTTATAAATAAAATTTAAGTAAGACGATATTTATGAATGATCTATTATTTGTTATTGGTCCATTTATTTTTCATTCTGCAGTCTCTGTAATTATCGTTTGGAACGTGGACTCAAGTAATAAGGATGATAACAACTTTATAGGACATACATTACTTAAGATATACGGTATAAATTAATTTAAGTGGTGCTAGTGCTATTAAAATAAAATGTACATTGATTTTCTTTATGTACTATATTAAGTATTTACATTTTAAGTTATATAAAATACTCGTGATTGGATGAAATATGCAATTATGATACACACTTAAGGCGAAACTTAAGCATTTCTAAATGCGCAGCATCTAATTCAATCTAATCAGGTTCGTTTAGTTTCGTGACTAGATCTTTCAAAAGGAAAGCTGCTTTTCTGAGAGTTTAATGGAATATTATACAAATAAAGTTTGTTATTACATTTAAAGACAGAATTATACAAAAATATAAGGAAACGTTCGCAAGCTTATATAAACATTTTGATAATATTTTCACAAGTGCTTCTTGATGCGCTTGATGCTATTTAATTCTTTAGTTTATCAATATACTACATTTTACAGTAATTATATAAATAACATAATACCTTGCATTAAAAAAATTGTATAAATATTCCCTGACTAGAATTAGATTTTTGTCGAATATTTATAATTATAATATTCAAAAAGCTCCAAATTTTCGATTGATTAACTTACACTGTATTATTAATTAAAATTAATTGATTTGAATGCTAATAAAGGTTTTGCGACCTATTAACATATTTAATCTCAACGTAAACTACTGTTTTCACAGTTATAAGTGTGCTGTTTCATTTTGATTACTTAGCAGTTTAATATTTATTCGTATTTTAAATATCAAATAACAAAGGCAAATAAAAATTTGTTAAATGAATTATCACTTGATCTGTTAACATACTTATTTAGTGAAAATGTTATTATAAATTTTTTTTTCACATTATAATGACTCTTTCTTTATCTTTTTACTCTAGATACTCGAACTAAAATAATAGTACTTAAGACTCAATACTTTTTCGAATTAAATTTTACTGTAATTTTAAATCTTTGACAAGATAGTAATAGATAAAATATTTCCGCTGTTAAAAACTCGATTTTTAATATTTTTAAGTATCTGTCATTCTTAAAAATAAAATTTCATTATGATAATTAATTTATTATCATAGCAATCTGAATTTTCAAATGCATATTATCAAAACCGATAGTATCACTGTATTTAAAAGAGATGATATATATATCAATATCAGTTTTGTTTCTTAATATTGATAAATTTATTATATTGGATAATTTTATAAAATATACCGTAATGTTAAAAAAAAAATTAAGAATGTAATTAATTTATATCATCGATATTAATCATTACTAAAGAATTTATGGGTTTTTAAATATTTACATAAATTTGAGTAATAATTGAGTTCTTAACAATCTAACATTTTCATCTAACATTTGAAAAATTGTTTCTTATTCTGGGCCTCAGATCATATATTTGTTGCAAACTTTTTCAGCAATTAATAGTAATTAATTATAGCTGTACTCTTTTGTTTAATTTATATTCATTACGTATCATATTTACTGCTGTTAACTAATTATGATTTTCAATTTTAATATCATCAGCTATATTAATAAAAAATTCTTTACTTCATTTTCACCAATGACTTTTAATTTTTTATATTTTATGAACTTTTTACTTTACAATAAAAAATAATATCGTACATATTGATATCTCTTTGTAGTAAATTTCAAATCTTAGTAAAAGCAATCAAAGCCGTAATAATTTAACAATTAAATTTATTATTACCGGTGCAATTAGGCAGGAAAGCCATATAATATATATAGGAATATCCGCTATATATATATAATTACGCTGAAAGTGATATGCGAAAACTGTATAATCAGTTTAAATTTTGTGTATTGATTTATATATTAATTAAAAGTAAAAAATTAAATAAAATTTGCGATAATAGCTATTTTCACGAAATTTTTCCGTAAGCTTCTTTAACCGTATTTTTATCATACTTGAATCAATGTACAGAGATGTAATTTAATTTCATTCGATTATAATTAATATTAATTGTCTAGCATAGAAGCAGTACGTACTCGCCATTTCCACAACTGTTGGAAAATATACAAAAATATTTCCTCGCGGTGGATCAATAAAAACGCTCTAACACTGAATGAAAAGAGCAACGAGAAAGATAATATTTATAAAGATACTGAGGTATACCGAAATGTACCATAAAAATTCATTCGTATTTTACTAAACGCGATTCCCAAGTGTATTATTAATCGTACGTTTATCGTTTACGCCCGCCAGAATAATTGTGCATTGGAAGACCTCGAGACGCGTTGTTAAATCATATCACTCAGATAGCTAAGATATTTATAATTACGACATTCTTATTACATAGTTTTCGTTATGCTTTGCGTACTATTAACTAATTTATAGCTTCCTTACGAATACAATAAATCAAAGTATATTACAAAAAAAAAAAAAGAATCTGACTTGAAGCGAAGGAGACTGATGTGTTACAATAATATCACTGACCACGATTAATATCGGGATAGACTAGTTTTTACTGCCTATTTCGGGGACACAACCTTCTTTCTTCTTATTATGTATAAATAATAATCATTATTCCCGTAACAATTCATCGACTAAACAATGTTTATAATGCTGCAAGATATGACTTTTACATTATAGTTTTGGCATGAAACTGAAGTTACAAACGCACTATGGTGAAAAATCAGACTCAAAAATTATTTGCCATGGATTTGCTCGTACATTCAACAATGATAAATTCGCATGAGGAGAGAAAAAACTAAAGGCGATGTGAGTCGTTACTTCTTGAGACCGGTAAGAGTAACATCCAGAGGTTCCTCCGGGGGATGGGGACTAAGGTTGGTCGGCCGATGCAAGTGCTGCTGTAAGTGATGCAGATGGTGGAAAAGCGCCGATGGTCGGAGCACCGGCGATGGACCTTTCATGGTCAAGTCGATCTCAGACTCCTGGGGTGGCCGAGGTTCAGCCTCCGGCGACGAGGATAATGCCGATGGACTCACGGATCCCCGCGATGGTGAACCGCATCCGCACTTATCCGGTGATTTGTCGCGCGTCATCGTGTACCTAAGTCAACACACACGAGTTATTATCATGAAAAAATCGAAAATTTGAATCGGTAATTGCTTTGGCCTCGGACGGATCTTTTGTAAATTTTTTAAGCGATCATATTCATCATTGACAAGCTTTAAACGTATAGAATATCAACCGTCATAAATATAAGGAGTTTATTTATTTGAAGATAAAAAGAGAATAGCCTGGGCTACATTCGAATATAGGCAATTTTTCTTTCATACATATTTGCAATAAATTTATATGTAATTGTATTTCTCTGCAGATTTATATATTCTGAGGTGCAAATCAATTTGACTAACAGGGACTAACAGGGTGGAAATAATAATTTTAGAAGACGCGATAAGCCTCAGAAATTACAGTCAACGTAAGTTCGCGTATTCGAATAAATTAAAATCTTATATAACAATTGTATATTTGAATATATTGAAAGAGTAATGAATAAATACAATAATGGTAAATTACAGTGCTTTGTCATAAAGGTCTTAAAAATGTCCCATTAAAGCTCTTGTCAATGTGGATTTTGATTGATGTGCCGGACATCATTAGTAAGATCCATAATGATTCATTACATGCAATGGTAAACAAAGTGAAACCGATGGTCGTTTATAAGCATCGACAATGCCAGAAAAGACAAAAAAAAATGCATCGGATAAGAATACTTGAATCCTTGATATATTTTCGAAAACGCTATTATTCGTAGCAGGCAGTAGCAATCGTCCAGTCGAGGACCTCGCGCGCGAGTCCTTTAAAATAATAAGCCAGACGAATTAGAAGACAAATTTGATGAAAATGAGCGTAGACGAATGGTAGAACGCACCCGTGTGGTGGTGGCAGGATTCGGTAATCCCGGCAAACGGGCGGTGATGCACCACCGACATCAATGACCTTTTCCTGGAGCGGGATCGACTGCTGAATCGACGGCTGTTGGGCCGGCGGTGGTGAGCCTTCGGGTCGCTCCTGCATACCCGGCGGCGGCGGAGGCGGTGGTCGCAGGAGTAGTGGGGCTGCGCTGCCGAGACCTAGGCAGCGCATGCGCCAGGCATCCTGCAGGAGCTGAAGCCGTGCCTGTTTGCGCCACTTGGCACGCCGATTCTGGAACCACACCTGCGCAAGCCCCGAATTCAGAGACGCGGACACAATTGACGTCCGACGGACTCAATTGGTAAACAGTGAAAGGTGAACAATGGAAGGTTAGTGCGAGTGAATCGGCAAATCTTTGCTTCGCCCAGTTATTATTGAGTAATATTCAACCAAGTTGTTTCATCGTTGTTCCTTCGTTTCTTTCATTTTATCGTTATTACATATTTTATTGCATATGTGTTGTTCATATATAAGTTTAAAGCTATGTTTTAAGGGATGAGCAGTTTGCTGGTCATATGGGTATTTAGAGTCCGAATGGGATTTAGAGCATTGGTACGATTTTTGAAATTTTGAAAGATTGGATAATTTTGACAAATTTAAAATAATGAAAGTTATAAATGGTCGATCTGCGATTTTATAGTTTACTTTGAACGATTAATCTCCATAATATATAATAAAATTTTATAAAATAATTAACACTTAATAATCCAGTGTAAACAAATTAAAAATCAAATATATTGAAAATACATATATTTGTCAAATGCATTTGGATCGAGTCCAAATTTATGAAGAAACTCGATTAATTAGAAGATAAGAATTCCAGTCAATATTATTTTTACAAAATTTAACGGTATTTTAATACACAGTTTTGAAGCATCGATCAGTGTTTTAAATGTTTCTAAAAGTAGCAATCGACATTGAGCCTCGATACTTTTCGTCGATATATTAACGTAATGAGCTACTAATTAACCAAGTCATTCGAATCCATAAATGCATCTTCGTTTTGAAGTAATCGATAAAATTTTACGAATAACAATTAAAAGTTTTATAATTTCTAGATATATTAAGAAGTTTAATTCGTTATTATCGATTAGAAAGAAAATTTTTGCCATATAATATGCTTATTTTATAATTGATTGTTAATCATATGTCGGTATGTATATAATTATTTTCAGTGTTTGTTAGCAGGTAAAATGATGCTTGAAACGAGTAAATTAAAAATGTAATTCTAAACAATTTCATCCTTAGGCTGTGCATTCGGGTTAGTCCGTCATATAATTGACATTTGATGCGTTGATGTAAATCGTTTTATCTTATGCGTATTCGTAAAGATTCTACCTTATTTTATTTTGTCAATCCTACACGCGATCTTGCCCAACATTTTCTGAACAAAACTGTTGTAAATAAATACCTTAAGAAGATGTGAAATCAATTTAACGGCGAGTCGATTAACTATTTTTTACCCACGGCATACTTCGCGTTCAATCCTAGCAGCCCGTTCATTATCGGCAATTGACGATAAGATGATGCATACCTGGACACGAGCTTCCGATAGTGAGATCCTTAGGGCGACCTCTTCTCGCAAGAATACATCCGGATAATGGGTCTTCTGAAAGAGGGACTCGAGCTCCTGGAGCTGCTGCGGCGTGAAGGTCGTCCGGTTTCGTCTCTACAACACAAAAACGTATCCCTCTCAGCTCCGAAGCCCCAGACTTCGGCCTAACGACGCCGGTCCTCGTAAGTGGCTTGGCACTCGGCACACAGTCGACCGTCACCATCCTCTCGCACAATCACAGCGCGCCGCCAAAGCGAGCTACCTCGAGGCAATGCCACGCTCGAGTTTATTAGTAACAAAGGGAACGTACACTAACCTGCCGGCGACGTCCGAACATGTACTCGGTGAGAAGGTCGGCCTGGGGCCCGAGAGGCGACAGGTAGGGTCCAGCCATGGTGCTCGGGCTTATTGCCGCCTCATGCCGATCCGCCGAGGTCGTCGCGCTCGGGCGATATGGCGCGAGGCACTGAGGGCTCGCCAGCCTTAAACCTGGCTCGCGCCCCACGGGGTGGAGTCGACTGGGGGCTGCCATTGGTCCGCGCGCTCTCCCGGGGGCGGGAATACGTCCCGGGCGCAGAGCCGCGGGGGCGGCTGGTGGGGGCGCTCCCTGCCCGTTTGACCGCTCGAATCGACCCTCTAATTTCTTGCAATGTTTTGTCTCGCGCTCTTTATTTTCCGATGCTCGAATTTCAGTCTTCGGACCCTTCCCCCCTGCCCCATTCCCCCTACCCAATTACCATTCCTACTCCCCTCCCCTCCCTACTCGCCGCGACTCATCATCATCGCGGAAAGCACCTACGGGGCCTTTCGTCTTCTAGGCCTGAGACCTTCTCTATACGAGCAAGGGCCTCATTTCTCTCAACTTGTCTTTCCACTTTCGACTGTTCGCTCCACCAATCTACATTTAAATACCTGGGAGATTATTCTAATCAACAGTTGAGATCAATGAACGTGAACAATGATCGAGGATGCCGTTATGTGCACTTTTATATTAGCCATTTGCATTTTGCCTTTGCGACTTCATTCCAAAAATAACATTAAAATATTCTTAATTGCAGTCATTTTTTACACTTTGTCGTTTGTATGAAGCGTTGGATTGAATTGAATATGCGTGAAAGGATATTATTAAAACTATTGACTTGGCTGGCAATGTTGATAATATTCTGCGTCGTTGATTAACTGTCGTGGCTAAAGGTGAATAGCTTGGCCGCTGAATTTCTATTGCTTTCCATTTTAAGCAATATCCTCGCAATCTATCATTAATTCAATTAAAAAATATTTTTAAATCTCATATGAAGTGAAAATTTCCATCCTCAAAATATGTAACGCGTTTTAAAATTCAAGCACCAACGTCGTCTATAATTTGCCACCTACAACGCTCATAATACAATGGAAAATATGTATTTCTTTAAGCCTGCAGCTAACGATTAGGCATCAATAATCGCTACTCGCGTAATATTTACAAGCACTATTAAATGAGTACATACAATAATCGGCGTGCAATCATCATCGCTTGTAACACATTCGATTACGTTCGCAATGAATGTCGCGCGCATGCTTAATACACTCGCCCGGGCTTAAACATTATTTTAAATAAAAACAATATGAATTTTTTGTATTATTCTTATATTTCTTATGTATTCTTATGTAGTGTATTTTTATATATTAGCTATAAAAGAAGAAAATAATCTACAAAAATGGTAAATTCGTTCACTTATCACGTTCGTATTAAACGAATTCAATTCGAGAATTTTTTACTCATTGTTAATACTCACATCGAGTTTTATAAAATAAATGTTTTATTATTTTTTAAAAGTTTTATTAAAATAATGTATCACGTGATGGATTACATTAAGCAATTTGAAATGATAGTAATTACGGGCGAGTTTTAAAAACGATATCCTATTCAAATAGTTTTTCATAATGCATTCTACATAGATTGTATGCAGATAAAATAGCATGTAGAATTAAATAACAAGTTTCGCGATATTATTACCTTGTGGCTCATATGTTGTCATGTGTTAATCTAACACATTTTCATGCGATACAGAAATTGTAGCTCCAATAATGTTTCCCGTTATCTTGCTTCGTAAATCAATAGCTCACGAATATTATTATTTGACAAATATGTATTTATTTGCGCTTCGCAGCTAAATAAGCCGAAATGTCAATCAATTCTGACGATTTGTTAATAATTTTAAAGGAGTTTTTATAAATTATTCTCATAAAATCCTATGTATGCATTAAGCGCGCTGGTTCATTGAAAATTCTAATATGAAATGCTAATAATGAGAGATAATTTATTCCGAAAGGTTGAAAAGGTACATTTGCTTGCTATAATGAATACTCTCTATAATTAATAGATATTTGTCGAATCTGAAATTTTGAAATAGGAATTTCATTAATATGATAAAATTAGTTAAATTTAAACTAACTTTAATTCAATATAATCCTTTATTTTATTCAATTTGATCACGAATATAGCCAGATTAGGAAATACTTATATTTAATATTAAATTTTTTATTATTATAATTAGAATATCGAGATTGTCGCGGTAATCTAAGCGTATAGAGTCGTGGTATAGAGAGAAATTGTATTATGTCACGACGAAGGATTATCCTTTATTCGATATCTTCGAATAGATGTAAAATATTTTTAAGAATACTTATAAGAATACTTTGGATCAATTGTGGACGATTCAGTTGCTTTTAATTTCATTTTTACATATTTTTCAGTGGCTATAGCATTCATTGTTATATTGGCATGACGTAAGCGTGAATTATTACTTGATTAATAAAATTCGACAGAATTTTTCATACTTAAAAATTTCAGCATTCAAATATCAGTTTGATGATCACTCGTGCATTTTTGTCTATGTCTTGGTTAATTCAATTTTTCAATCACCTCTGTTAACCTGTAACCTGTGGTAAGTAAACTTTAATGCTAGCCATTAAAGAAAATAATAGCCCATCTGCGTTGATCTTCAGTAAGAAGATTTTCACTCCCCCTCCCCTCCTCATCATTGTAGTTAATTAATTGCGTCGCACCTAGAGAAGCTGCCTTTCTTTCACCAAGCCAAAGTAAAAGCATCCGTCACGAGCATATTCAAAAGCAAGTAATAATAAGGACCTCGCGCTTAACAGTTTTAAGGTGATCCGTGATGTCCGGCCTGATTAAAAAGAGCGGATGAATTTTCGTGGCGAGGTGAGCGGGAGTACAAACAATGGAGGGAGCGAAAATAAAGAATAAGGAAGAGAGATATGGCGTGGGGCCCGGGCGGGAGGAGGGTAGAGCGCGGCATAGGCGGGATAGCGGCGGGGGGTAGGGAGAAATATACGCAATCTTTTTAATTATAAAAACGGCGCTTTGTGTTTCATGATGTTTTGTTGTCCCCGCGCTCTCTTTCGCCATTCTATTCGAAGCGCTTTTTCTCTTCTCTCTCTCTCTCTCTCTCTCTCTCTCCCTCTTACTCGTCCTCCCGACGCTGCCCCGACTTTTTTATATTATAAGGGCGAAGGAGGGACAGACCTGGTAAAAGAGGAGAGAGCGGAGGGGTGCCAGGGTGAGATTGCTTTAGTAATGAATTACATGGCCTCGGGCTATGTGCTTCTGTCTGATCCTGCGCCTAGGCCTGCACCGGTGCAGTGCCTTGCCGTTTACACAATCTACTCTCTCTCTCTCCCTCTCTCTCTCTCTCTCTCTCTCTCTCTCTCTGACTCACTCATTCTCGCTTGCACGCTCCTTTTATTTTGTTTCTTTATCCTCCTTTTCTTTAAGAAATGGATCTGCACGGTAACGAACTTTTTAGTGTAAGCGACAACTCGGACCATAAGATAACTATACTTTTTTTCACTTATATCGCATTTATGTGTTAGAGAAAGAGAAAGAGAGAGAAAGAGAGAGAAAGAGAGAGAAAGAGAGGGGCAGAGAGAGAGAGAGAGAGAGAGAGAGAGAGAATAATCTTGCAAACCATTGTAAAAGTGTTTAATTTATGTTATAAATTTTTTAACCAGATTACCAAATGCACGAAACACGTGACGCAGATCTTCATAAAAAATTATCATACGAATTTATTTAAATCTTGTCTTTTACACAATTACACTTGAAAGACGGCATCTTCCCGAAAAAGGCCGGAATGCAGTCGAAATTTGTAAACGAAAGAACTATCTGCGATGTACGCACGTCGTCGATACGGGCAAAAGCGCAATCGGGGGGGTCCAACAATGTATCCGCCCCAGAGCAACGCCCTTATTAATTTAGCCTCCCTCCCCCGGTTGCGTCCCGAGGATGCCCAGCGCTCATCTTCATGGTTCGCTCCGCCCCCTTTGACGATAACTTCCCGCAACCTTGCACCACAACCGATTTTCCTGAAAGATACTTGAGCTACCAGTATGTTAAGCGTAGTTATGTATTTTGACTATAATGGCTCGTGCTTGATTTATGGGGTATCAACACTTCTGAGGGGTACTATTATTAACTGACTTTGATGTTTATGCCTTGATTTAGAAGAATTAAATTGCCGCATAATGTATACATTTTTTTGCTTAACAGCTTGAAGAACTTTTAGTTGTACAAAAAAATATAAACATATTACTTATTGCATTTTTTTAATAAATAGAATAATTTCATTAAAATGACAATTTTAGCATGAGATCCTACATTAATTGTGGGATACAATTACATGTCTTCTCAATTTGATCGAATAATTAGTACTTTGTAAAATACATGTATTTCATAGATTAAAATAATAAATAATAGATGTATTTTTATGTGCCATATCAATTAGCACAATCGATCATAGTTTAGTAAAATCGGAAAGCCTTATGTAGGGCATCGAGTATCATTTAGTTAACCATCATGATAATAAAAACCCATGATTAGTGTCTCTTTTATCCAAAAGCTATAAAATAAAGCAGCTCCTTTGCTCTTGAATAAATATTAGTATTATCAATTCTTGCTGTCATCTCTAATCGGGATCGTCGTTATTCAAATAAAATTTCAATAAAACGTTACGACTGAAGTCCGCGTTATTTTACTCATGCACTGATGAAGTAACGACTTAAAGCAAACATCAACAATAACGCAACACGCTCGAGAGAGAGAGAGAGAGAGAGAGAGAGAGAGAGAGAGAGAATGAAAAAAGTGCGCCGCATGTGAGCCCCGAAACAATGCCCGAATTCATTCATTATTTCTCATCTCCGCGTTTCGACGGGGTTCGTGCTAATTGACTTTTGCTCACCCGCCCCCGTACCACCCCCTTTTGTCCCGAGCGCGCCATTGTGTCGTGGGGCTTTATTCGATCATGCGCACCGTGCGATCGGCTAGATTTCGGGGAATGACGCTTTTCAGCGGGCTTTGTTCGCCGCTTTTATTCTACATCGGAAGGGAGGTGCCGCTGAATTATTGGATTTTTTTGTATTTGTTTTTGATTGCGCC